TAATGAAAATTTTGAAAAATAATACAAATATCATTACATGTTTATTATTTTAAGGCTCCTGTTTATTTTGCTATTATTTTGTTGTTGTTGTTGTTACTTGTTGCTATGGTGTTGACAGTAATGTTGGAGTGATTTTCTGATAGCCAGTACAGAATGACCCATTTGGACTTCATGATGAGTATCACTGAGGCCCAACAACTTCACAGATGTGTGCATTCTTGCTTTGGACTGAGCTGGGAATAGGAGAGGTGAAACAGCTAACAGCATTGCCTTTAGTTCTACAGCCTTAAAGAAACAAAGCCTTGCTCCCACCAAAGAAATATTTAAAATCCTTCCCAGTACATCCAGAGCCTCTTGAAGCATCACTTATTGGGGCCAAGGATCCAAGGAGATGGACCATAATCTCAGTTAAGCAGTGGTTCTCAGGCTTTAGCATCCATCAGAATAATTTAGAGGACTGTTTACACAGATTGCTGGGCTTTATCCCCAGAGTTTTGGATTCATTAGGCCTGGAGTAGAACCTCAATATTCATTTCTAATGAGTTCCCACATGATACCGATAATGGTGTTTTGGGGACCACACTTTGAGAACCACTGGGGTCATAGATATAGTAGAAGTATGAGTAATCTGACTCCAGAGAGAAACATGCGCAGAAATCTTTTCACTAAAGTGAATTGCCTGATAACCCCTGTAAAAATGAGGGCTTCCTATTATCAGCCCCCATGTTTTCTACTCTGCACTGCCCTTTTCTTACTTTTTAAATTTATTGGTTGGGGAAATGGTTTCATGAAGTTGTTTTTAAATTTTATGAGCCTGATAAAATCTATGGACACTCTCTCCAGAAAAGCCCATTTACACATTGCTTATAATTTCAGGAGGCTCTTGACACCTCCTCCACCAGCCCACCCGCTGACCCTCAGAAGTATCAGTAAAAAACATATGCCCTAAGGCAGTCTTGAGTTTACTCAAATTCCCTTCTCATACTTTAACCTTTGGATTAAATATATTCATCTGTAAAATAGGAATAATAGTAACAATTCTTAACTCCAAGATTATGAAAATTAACTGATTAATACATGGAAGAGCCTAACTTGAAAACCAAAACCACTGAATGTTACCTTTTTCTCTCTCTTTGTAGTCCTGCTACAACAATCCTCATTCCTGAGGCAAAAGGGTGCTTCTCCCTACTAGGGGGAAAAGCAGGAAGTGTAAGAAAGAATAGCCCAAAGAGTAATATTACAAGATCTACTCTGTGCCCCTTGCATTCTTTTGCTAAACTCTGGTCAGTCTGCCATATTATGGTTCCTTCTGTGAGTCACTGAGCAATGGCATCTAGTAAGCCCCAGGCCTGGCTCTGTGACCTGAGACTCTCGATAATTCATTTATCCTCAAATATTCCACTTTGCCCAGTGTTTTCTCATGTCCCCATATTAATGCCTCTGGACAGAAAGACAGAAATGTAAAATTCTAATAGAGGTTCATTTCCAGACTAAAAGACACTGAGTCTTGAGAAATAGTGATTAAAAATTAAGCTTAATTCTCATTGTTTCTGTAAAAATAAATAAGTATGGTGATAGGCTAATCAGCAGACATTTATTTAGTTCCTACTGTATACACTGTGCAAGAGATGATACAAAGAGGAATAACACATGCTTCTATGCTGTGCCGACTCATAGTCCAATAGGGAAGATAGGCACAGCAAAAATAAACCAAACACAAGTTGAACCATAGCAAGGACAATGATGATTCACACAGTGTTTCAGGAGAAATCAATTTTGACAGGGATCCATAAAAGTCTCCTGAGCAATGTGAGATTTAAGTTGGACCCTGCTGTAGGTGAATATGATGGAGAAGGACATTCTAGTTTAGGGAGACAGTCTGAAGAAAAGCATGGAATTAGAAAAAGCTTGGTATAAATTTATGATATTATGATTTAGCCAGTGTGACCATAGTATGGGTTTGGGGTGAAGGTTTAGAACTTGAGGCTACAGAGATAAGATGGAAGCATGTTGTAGGGAAGAAACCAAAGGCCAAGTGGGGAGCTTTGCATCCCTCTCCATGCAGTGAGGAAGAATTGAGGCCTCTGAGTATAGAGATACCCAAAGCGGTCTGTTTTTATAACACAGAATCCTGGTGGCACTGAGAATAGACAATAGAGGGCAAGGATAAAGCAAGACCTGATGAAGGTAATTGGGATCTGAACGAAAGCCAGAGTAGTGGGAGTAGCATGAAGGGGCTGAAGAAGCGAGGCATCTGAGAGGCTGCATTCATTTCAGGATGGTAGATGACATGTAGCAAAGAAAGCGGAGGCAAGCTGAGCGGGCTCCCCCGGGCCAACTTGCCACATAAAGCAGACCATGGTCTCAGAGGAAGAGACTGTCCAGGTGGCAAGGGAGACCTCCTGGTCATCTCAAGAAGACTTCTCCTTCCCAGAATGCCCAGAGGGAGAGCAACTGACCATGTGCTTTGCCTGCATGAAATATCAAAATCAATGATTCTGGACATGGATCCTCAGCCTAGCAGCTTCAGAAGTCTTTTAAACAACTTTTAGACACTTTTCCAGGTGAATCTGATCTGGGAACTCAAGGTAGGTTGGAGGTGGGGCCCAGGCATCCGTATTTTGAAAAGCCCCCAGGTGATTCCGATGCACAGCTGGATTTGGGAACTACTGTGGGAAATGTATAGAAAAACACAGAGTCAGGACATAGTGCCAGTGGACACTATGATGGCTTGAAGACTTTAGGTTTTGGTCTCCAACAGTATCTCAAGCACCATGACCTTCACCTTCAATTCTCATCCTCAGCAAACACATCAGGAGAGCCCTAACTGGTTTGGCTCAGTGGATAGAGTGTCAGCTTGCGGACTGAAGGGTCCCAGGTTTGATTTGGTCAAGGGCACACGCCTGTGTTGCAGGCTTGATCCCCAGTGGGGGATGTGCAGGAGGCAGCCGATCAATGATTCTCTCTCATCATTGATGTTTCTCTCTTTTCCTCTCCCTTCCTCTCTGAAATCAATAAGGGTATATTAAAAAAAAAAAAAAAAAACACACACACACACATCAGGAGATAGGAGAGGCTGGATGTTTGACAAGTTCCCTGGACTTCCCAGAAGGATAATGTGCGTACAAACCTCCTTTTCACTCGTGTCCTCAAGTGAAATAGAAAGAGAGCTTGGCTGCCTCAGAGACACCATGAGAGAGTCTTATTACAGGGTGTTTTCAGTCTTTAGAAAACAGGCTTCATAATACTTCTACCCATTTTCTGCCAGGCTTGTACAACACATAGGACTTTTATTGCTATTATTGTTTTTATTTCTCAGAAAAATCATACAGTTCAAAGGTAAGGCAGGTGTTAAAAACATCATCCCTTCTATACACCGGGCTCTGTGGGACTTGGGCTCTGTGGGACCAGCCAGAGCTGGTCCTGAATCCACTGCCCTCTGGAGCTCCAGTTCCGCCTCTGGGCCATAATGGAGAAGGGTGACATAAAGGCATTTTTCTCTCCTTGTAAAGAGAAAAGGTGGGGGGAAGGGGATTATTTAAACACACCTCACTCACACTGCACTCACTGCATTGTTTTTCCTGTTGAAACACCCTGTTGGTTTTTAAATCCCTTTAAACCTACCGGCACCTGTATGGCCTGGATCCAAGAATTATTACCGAACCTCTCGCTTTTTATATCTAGCCACATAGGAGTTTCTGTGATGGTATCTGGCTCTTGGTTCAGTTGAAAATTTCAAAGCTTCCAGAGGTTTCCTTCTTGCATAGAACTAGAAGCATGCAATGCTTAGACCTGGTTTTATTTTTTATTTTTTATTAAGCAGAGACGTTTCCCCCTTTTAGTTCTCCTGCTGGATAAAATAGTATCGTGGCATAACTGAATTGTTCCTCTGTAAAGACACTTCTGAAATATTGACCAAAAGAGAGGGTAGAGGACAGATGGGGGGTCTCTACCAGCAGCTTATGGTATGTGAGGTGACCTGTCTTCAGGGCAAGAACTGAGGCTGAAAACATAATGAGGACTTCCCAGAAAATTCATTATAACAAAGCATAATGTGAGCTCGCTCAGTGGGCACGAAAATAAGCTGAAGGAAAGTGACTCCCACATAAGACCTAATTAAATACTTTGATGTCAGAAAGCAGAGCAGGGAGGGGTGGAAAATCAAATCAGACCAAAGTAAAGACTTAAATTTAAATGGAAAGAAGAAATGTTTCTCTCTCTCTCTTTCTCTCTCTCCCCCCCCCCCACTTCGGCCTCTCTCTCTCTCTCTCTCTCTCTCTCTCTCTCTCTCTCACTTTCTCTCCTTTTCTTCCTTTGTTATGAAGGAAGAATAAGATTCGGGAACAATGGGTTGTGAATTCTTTAGCCAATTAGTCCAGTGACTTACTACTGTTCATAATGCACAGAATATCACAGGCTGTTTTGCGGCCTCCCCAAGTTGGTTTGTTAATAACAGGAAGCTAGCACTTCTCAGTACAGTGGATCAGCTACACGTGAAAATAAATGCAAAAAACCTGGAGGGGAATAGAAGCAGACCGAGAGTAGCCTTGATTTAATTTAACGTTTGGGGGTCCACACACAAATGAGCATTTTAGTAGGCTTCATGGTGGAAGTTGCTGTCATTTGTAAAATATTCTGGCCAATTAGCTAATAGTGTGCTTGGATTTCTCCTGTTTTGATACAGTAATACTAAGTACATTGTGAAGCCCAATTATACAAATCATCCCCATATGCCATACCAGTCTTTCTTTATGAACTGTGTTTATAAATCCTGTGTGAGGAAATGTGTACTTCAGCAATTTAGACCATGTGTAAAAACATAGCCAATGGGATTGTCAAGAAAACAAGTTCCAGCCTAGGAAGTCCTAATGTGTTCCGCTGGAATAGCAGGAGGGTGCCGGGGAGCGCAGTGCTCTGCTTGAATATATATTGCTTTAGTGTTTAACCGATTTAGGGGCTTCCGCTTCCCTTTCTGTTATTGTATTCTTCTTTTCTTTTAGGATCCAACCTTGGAGTTTTTGCGAAAATTTGGGATTGGTCTTCTGTCAGGAACAATAGCCTCAGTCATTAACATCCCTTTTGATGTTGCCAAAAGTAGGATTCAAGGGCCTCAGCCAGTTCCTGGAGAGATCAAGTACAGAACCTGTTTTAAAACAATGGCCACAGTCTATCAGGAAGAAGGGTAACACATTCTTAACTTAATAAATGAGCAACCCTCAAGGATTGTCCAAGCCGTATTATACTTCCATTATGATGAGAGCCATTAAGCCCTCCTAAATTGGGGGTGTGTCTGAGAAGCTCTGGGGAATAGATGACAAACTTCAGCCAGCTAATGCAATAATGAGATGTTAGCAGAACATTCTTATACCATCAAGAACCGTGAGCCGCCACTCTACAATATGCTGCATTTTTGTCTTAGAATGCTAATATGCACTTTTTGCTTGCCAGTTTGCATAAAATGTTACTGCATATTGTATGCCCTATTAACACATGGGCAAGAGAACCATTGTCTTCTGTCTGTAAATCTAATCAAAATGTCACCTAATCATATTCTCCTGAGACAATTAAACATGAGAGTTCTGTGAAAGTATCTTTCTTTTAAAATTTTAAAATATGTGCCTTATTCTGCTGGTCAAAATGTTTTTAAGTCTTACTTTTGTCTCTTGATCCTGCCTCGCCCAAGTCTTATTCTAAGTAAACAAGTGATTTTTATTATTTTGATCTAAACTGCATCATATTTCCTTATGTGAAGACTGAGTTTTTGGTCTTTCAAATTCAATTACAGAAGTCACTTTGTCCAAATACATAGCCGTCTTGAGAGTAAGGCCTGTCTTGAAAGCAAAAGCCATCATGTGATGAAAAGCGTATTTCTGATTGGACAAGACCAGCATAGCTTGGATAAGGAAGAATTAATGAACTCTTCCCCCTTGTCCAATTTGTTGCAGAGGCTATTTAGCAAGATAATTTCAAATAAATATTTTATAAATGCTGAGTTAGCATTTCAGTAGAGCTGAGGTACAACTCCATTTTGTTTTCAAAAAAAGAATGTTGCTTTTTTTTTTCTTTTCACTTGTAGGATTTTAGCTTTGTACAAAGGCCTGCTTCCCAAGATTATGAGGCTTGGACCAGGTAAATGTGTTTTTATTACTTATATCCTTCCTTCTTTATTAAGTTCTAGTGTCTTTTTTTTAATTTGTGTCTAACAGCAACACAGTAAAAGTTTATTCCACTGTGAAAGGCAGAAATCTTGAGGATATAGAGCTGCCTATGAGTATTCAAAATACTTACTGCGTCCATTAGAAATGTTCTACCTTTGTTTATAAGGCACTATTTATGGCCTTGCTGGAGGCTGATAGAAGCCAAAGCCCAGCTTAAGTCAATAGGAAAGGATCCACAGCCAGTTGGAGTTTGAGTGAGCACCCAGGTGCATACACTCTGGCTTCTGACTGAAGGGGAGGATTTTCAGTGGGTGAGGGGCCAGCCCAATAAAAGTTTCCTGGTGCTCCCTCTTCTTGTTCCTGTCTCAATTTCATTTCAAAAAAGAGAAAAGGAGGCAGCCTTGCCTCCATGAGCAGCAAGAGCCACTTGTCTTCACGGTCACCTCTGGGGAGTGGTGAGGCGCAGCCTCGTGCGCCTTCCTGGTCTCTGCCTGGTGGTGGAGGCTCCTGGCTCAGGGCCTTACCTCAGGACACCAGCCCACAAACACTGGCTGCCATTCCCTCAGGGAGAGTCAGCTGCCTCTATGTAAACAGATAAGAAAATAACTGCTACAGACTCAACCGCCTGGGCAAATAGTGTTGGATTATAAGCAACCTTGTGAGTAAGTACGGAAGTATATACTTTTTTTTTTTAACCAGGCCACACTCACCTACTTAGACATCCTGGTAATGTTTCCTAGAACCTCCCCCTCCTCCTCCCTTCTCTCCTTTTCCGATTCCTCTGTTAACAGCAATGTCCTCCTCTCCTACTGTACTCACACATGTACACATTTACCCTTAAATCTCAACCCAATGAACCAGCATTTCTACCAACCTGGGATATAGAACAAAGTCTGTAAATTGAAGCTGGTAAACAGTTCACACTTTCTTGTGTTTAGAAAACACTTCCTCAATTCCAAATCCATCTATCCCAACTTTTCTAGGCATTTAAGCATGGATTTTGCTTCACATTTGAGATTCAGACCTGCCTTCTGTTAGTCTTTGGCCCGATTGTAAAAAAAAGGACCCAATGATAAGAATATTGGTGATTTAGTGCAATTCTCTCTGTATGTGGTGTTTTCCCTTCACCACACAGTAAAAGCCTGCTAGTAGGCCTAGCATTAGAGAAAATCAGAGGACTGGCCCTAACCCAGCTTTCTCAGGAGGGGTGGGCCTGAAAAGGGTGATGACCCTGGAGAGTTTAACTAAAACGGTAATTGGCTGGAAACTAAATCCAAAGCTCTTTAAATAATCTGACCCCAAGTTTTGTTAGAGGCATGCAAATGTTTGGTTGGCTTTTTAAAATGTTTTTGCATGAGGTATCCTGAGTTGTGGTGGTGTTAAATCCAGTGAAAAGGGTTGTTGTGGATGTTCTATCCAAGCTAAACAACACTGAGTAACTAGAAATCTCATTCTAAGACCTGGCCTCACTCTCATTCCAAACGTGCAGGTCCTACCAACTTCAAATGAAAGAAGGTAAAGAGAAAGGTAAGGTAAGATTATTATTTTTTTTTTTTTTTTGAGAGAGAGAGAGAGAGAGAGAGAGAGAGAGAGAGAGAGAGATGAGCCTGGAATTTCCATTCTTCATTCTGGAGAAGCATCTCATCTTGTTTTGTAACAACCTTAGCACTCTATGTGGCTACTGATAGGTACCTCGCATGAAGGGAGAATCTTGAAATCTGTGGTTTAAACTTTAAATATCACTAGCCTGTAGACTAGCCCAGTTCTGTGTGTTCTTGTCTTACATTGTGAATAGTTAATAAGAGTAAACACTGCAGTTACATACATATCCACAACCCTCTGCAGTGCATTCCTCCTCGCTTGCCAGAGCGCCAAAAGGGCTACAGCAGTGAGACAGGTCTAGTAGAGTATCTTCATGGGTTAAAAATGAAAATTACAGGCAGATAATTATCTTTGGTATAAAGTTACACAAACATGTGCAGCCTGTAGGTTTTTTAGAAAGCATATGGCAGTGTGTACAAAAGAACTAAAATCAAGTTCCCTTTCTTTCTGTTAGAAGTCAGTCTTCTGTTCATTCAGCCAAGTCTTCTCTAAGTTGTGCTGAGGATATTTGTCCACATTTTGATTTTGTAATAGTTTTCACACAGACATGAAAGGAGAAATAGAGGTTGTCTTAAAGGACACAGAACATGTGCAATTTACTGCATTAGATAGAACACAAAATCGCCCACATACAAATGCTCTCCTGATGTCTAGGTATTCAACAGGGTTGTGCCTGTTTTCCTGTATCATATTCCTGTTGACATATTACATAGCAAGCCTCTTTGCAGCCAGTTATATAACTCTTCTCTACCAAGACAAATGGTGCTCTTATGACACCCACCCCTACTACCAAATTTTCAAGTGCAATCCATATATGTCCTAGGCAGATAAAAGGAATGAAAACAAAAGGAGGTTGAAAGCTAGCTTAGTTTTGCAATACATATTTTTTTAATATTCAGAAGCTATTTTTCACATTGCAATCCAAATTGAAAGCTGTAAGAGAAAAGCAGCCTCATTCGTCAAGCACCATCTTAGAGATTTTCTTCTTGAATGCAACTACAACAATGCTAATTATGGACTGAAAAAGATAAATCCTTTGCCTACATATGAAGAACCTGAAGGCTTCTGTTTGCAGGAAAGCCACATGCCCTTACATGACTAAATGCCTATATTTATTTACTTTTAAAAATTAAAAGTGCCTGAAAAGGAATCTGATGAGAAATGATGAAAGTTACAGAAACTCATGGGGGAAAAATGTATTTGGAGACTCAAGATGGTCTTGATTTTGCTCTGAGAATTTTCCACAGTAGTTTTATATCTATATATTGGAGCTCAAGAACTGATGATTCTAAACAGCCCCTGCCCGATGGGTTGTGTGGGACTTCTCAGGGGGAAAGACATCCTTGTTTTATAGGATTGTGACAAGAGCCAGCTCTTTTCTTTTCTAGGTGGTGCAGTGATGCTGCTGGTTTATGAATATACCTATTCATGGCTTCAGGAGAACTGGTGATTGCCTATGACGTGTTTTTACCCCTGGAGATAATGCATATTTGCTGTACAGCACCTTGAAACTATCAATCAGCTAATCTGATACAGTTACAAATTATAATTTATGTACAATTATAAAGGGGGAAACAATATAAGATCAGAACCTATTTTGATACTTCAAAAATTATCTCTAGACAATTTGAGACTGTAGTAATGGCCATATTCATAAAATTGTAAGAATAAAAATGATATGAAGCAATTAGGTATGCAAACTGAATATAGAAAAATAGTGTAGAAATCAGAAATATATCATAAAAGCAATATAAGTTTTGTAACCCATGTTTTATTTACATTGGCTCACAATGAAAATCTATTGTATTGATAATTATTTTTCTCCAAGAGGCCAACAAATGCTTAAAGAAAAAAAAAAAAGCCAAAATTTAAAGTTTTTTAAAAATTTAACTCTTCCATAAATAATATGTAAAAGTCACAAATAAAGTATTTTAAAGGTGCACTAAAATGCCTTTTTAATATGTTCACTTTTATGTTAAAATGCAAATCTGTTCAGTTTTCTAGTAATAATTAACATTTCAGCTATATTTTCCTAAATCTACTTTATATTTTGTACTGTTGTTTAAATCAGGTCATACTTTAAACTTCTGATATTTGCAGTCTTTTATAACAAATACAAAACATGAAGTTATATTAAACTACTTTTCTTCACATAGTTCCCTTTGAAAACAAGTTTTGTTGCTGAAATATGTTCATGTTAAATCACAAATTGGAACCACTTCTTGGACCCATGTGTGCTGTCTGTATTTGTACCCAAATGCCTGTGTTCAAAACTCTTACCTATGCCATTCTTAAAAGAACATTCAAAGTAAAGTACATTGCCAGGTTATTAGTTATTGGTGACAGCTACAGGTGTGGTGTATGATATTTGCAGTGCTAAAATATGTATTATTCAGGAAAAATGTTTCAAAATAGAAGTACATTCTTAGCATTTCAAAATTCTTAGCAATTCCTGTACTAACGTGCACTCCAAAAAAATATCTTCTTGGCTTTGATATAACCAAGGGATTTTATATCTACATCCTTAAATGATGCTACTTCAGTAGCCAAAAGTCACCAAAAATATCTGCACGTTGTAGGTGACACCTGTTCTTAACTATTTCTATGGGGTATTTGTACCATGAGGCTATGTTATTAAAGCATTTTGAAAATAAAAAATAAAAGATAACATGGTAATTATTACTTTTTATTAATTTAGAGCATTTGAAGTATAAAAATAAAGGCTTTTTGACATACTGTATATACATACACAGCCTTCGGTTGTACATCCTTTCCAGCGTGTTTTTTAATTTATAGTTCAGCCCAATATTCAAAAGAGGGTCATTAAAAGTAGGAAAAGAAACAAACAAGAGAAATAAGAATGTGTCTGTTATACAACTGCATTCTATCCTTGCAGGTAATACTCTTGCATCCTGTGAGAGCACTGCCTGCACAGAGTCCATGAAATTGAACCTTTAACCTCTCCATGTGGATGGGATGGAAAAGGATCTCTGAAGAGTGCACTTGCCAGTTTAAAACATTTTCACCCGCTAAGAAACAGAGGAAATATGTCAACGCTAACCAATAATAATAATGTTTTAAAAAAATCCCAAACCCATATCTCATTCCATTTTCCTTCTCTTATTTTTAAGAGTAGCTTTAAATCATAATTGCTTTAAATAGCAAATTGTATTTGGGGTTTCTGTTGTTCTTTTAAATTTATTTCATGTGAATTCACTGTTGCTAAGAAAAGACCTAAAGGGGAGGGGGGAGAAAAAAAGAAAACTTTGATATCATTAATATTAGATTTAAAAAAAAATACAAGAACCAGAAAAATTATAAATAGCATAATAACAAGAGATTTCTTAATTTAGATAAAGAAAACAACATTTAGTTATGTTTCCATACAAACAATTGATAGTTTTTTAAAGACTCCTAGTAGCCACCTAAAAACATCTGATAAGGAAAAATTCTGTACCTTATGTCAGTTTTTCTAGACGGCAGCAGAGTCACTGTATGGTATGGTTTTAAAGTCTCCACCAAGATATTGGGTTGGTATCTTTGTTCCATTCGGTTTATAGTCTATTTTCTCACCAGACTAGGAACTCCAGATGTCAATAGGAGTTTTACAAGATCAAAGGAAGACTATGGCCCTGAGAGTTCATCTGCTCCTTCTGCTTATTCTTCTCCTGAAGTTATAATCCTCTATTTGTAGCACTGAATTTCGATTGCTTTAAAAATAAATGCAGTTCAAAGCTCTCTATAAGATATCTGCTGCTTGGAGAAAACAATTCCTTGAACATAACTTGTATGTCAGAAATCTGTTTACTGTTTATATCCTAGTGATTTGAAAACCTAGCTAATCTAGCCATCTGAGTGTCCAGTGAAGCCGTGAAACCAATGTGATAGCTTGATTGCCATATAGGCTGTGCACAGCACAGACAGGAAGACATCAAAATCACCTGACTCATCTCTAACAACCATATCTAGTGATGTGCCCTTTTAGTTATTGCACAGAATTAATACCGAAAACTTGCAATATATTAATTCTCCAACAGGTGAATTGTACCAATGTTTTACAAACATATTTTTAAGCCTATATTGCCAAACAGGAAGAACATTCTAAACAGAAGAGATTAAAAACTAGAATTTTGCCCAAGAAAATCAATTGTTTTAAAATGCAACATATAATCACACGTTCACACACACATTTGCCCCACAGCTCTATTTTTAACATTAAAATTGGTCTAGAAAGATTTATCAGTTAAACGGTGTCCTGGAACTCCAGAAATGAATAAAGGGAAATTTTAAAAATTAAATAGCATCTGTATTACTAATACCACCACCAGTTTACCTACATGTGAAACATGCTTCTGTACAACAATGTAAACTTCACAGCAAGCCATTTTTACATTCATTAGAGCAGAATTTCCCATTTTCTTTAAATTACAACGTAACTTTGGGCTGAGATTGCTGAACACACAGGTTAGCCAACAATAACAGTACAATTTAGTTTCACAGTGGTTTTCTTAACAGAAAGTTCATTTTAAGTGTCTTTGCAAAGCTTTTCACATTAAACGTTGAGTTTCTAAGTGACTTCCTTTAGAGCCTTCTTGTTCAAACCTTTTCCACCTTGTCTTTGTATGTTTGGCACGTGTGTTGTCTGATTAGGGTACAGAATGGGAGACTGGCTTGTTTTATCTGTTGTTCGAATTCTCTGCTGTAGAAAGAAAATGTCCTTCATGCGATGTTGAAGCCTTCCCTGCACACACAGAATTTATGGCAAGTCCAGATCCAGGAGCCTGAGCAGCCCACCACCAAACAGAGGCAAAAACGTTGCCAAAAAGTCACCTTTGCAAAAAGAAAGAAAAAATAGAGGAGTGGGGGAGGGGGACGCCCCATGGAATGAAAACACAAATGCACCATCCAGAGTCCATATTTACAAACTAATAGAAATATAAACATTGTCATATTTGGAACCAAGCCAAAATACCGGGAGGAGCTAAATTCAGATATTGCTTGTGTTATACATATATTCTCCAACAAAACAGGTCATCTCTTAAAAATAAAGGATCGCTCAAATCAATTATTGATTGGTTTCCTAATGATGAATTAAGGCTTATTTGGTCACCTTATTTGATTAGAGGGTGTAGCATAACTTTTTTCTATATGTATTTTCCTTTATTGATTTTGTGAAATCTCAACAATTGCACGTTTCAAAAGTTTAGGTTGATTTAGAATAAATATACACATGTGGTTTTACCAAAGAATCATTTAAAAAGTTCCTTAAGCCCTTTGAGGGGTGCAGGTTTCTTCACTACATTAAAACAGTGTGTGGGCAGCACAAATGTCTCATTCAGTCCTTAATATTGCTTTTGTTTTTGAATCCTAACATCATGTCAGGTTTTCTGTGAAAGAGAAGTTATGGCAAGAAATATTTAAGTGTCATCAGCACAAAGGAGGTGAGTCCGTAAAACCAGCTCTCCAGGCAGAAGGGAGGGAGGGGAGGAGGGTGAGGTCTGAGATTGGGGGAGATGGGGCGGGTGTGCTGAGGGGGGCCCTGGTGAAGCTGTTGCAGACGGAACTTCCCATCAGAGTGCGGAAGCTGTGACCGAGTGACTACCTTCTCTGGCTGCCTGCATGCCCTTGAACGCCAGCGATGCGGGAATGTCACAGTTGTGGGGGGAAAGTGGGGTGCCACTGGCATGTTGCCATCCATGTCCAGCAACATAACCAGAAGGAGCAGCACTGTAGGTCATGTAAGGCGACACTTGGGCCGGGGCAGGATAAGGAGCCATGCTGGATGCTGACACAAAACTGCTCACAGTTGGGAGGCCATTTGGTGCCTAAGAAGAGGAGGAAAAGAGAAGAGGTGAAAATAATCACATTACAGTAGTTGACATTTCGCAGGTTCTTAGAGAGAAGCAGACTGTAAGTTTTGAGTGGTAGTAGCTAACAATATTCTGATTCTACTTTCTGATTTTTTTCTTTTTTTTACGGTTTGACCTTAAGCATATTCTAAAGGCATTCACAGTCTTGCTATTTAAACAAACATAATGCCAAGAGACAAGATATTATTCTTTCCACAAAGGTTATGAGGAGGCTATGACCAGAAAATTCACAGTATTTGCTTTGCTATTCAGAATTATAGGAAGGCTATGCAGGGTGAGGAAAGAATTAGTGGTGATTAAATACTCTTAGAATCTGTTCTGCTATCCATATGCCTTTGTCAACCTTCCCCGAACTTCGGTTTTGTTTGGCTCTTTTGTTGAGCCATTTGTGAAGGGCCTGGTTGGTGTAGCTTTCATTTCCAGAAAGGGGGGTGCACAGAGTGTGGGCTGTCAGTTTAGAAACTCAAAATGAGTGCAACTTTTGCTAAATAAAACATGGACGGTATTTTAAAACATCATGCTGTAAATGCTTATTGGATGAAGGACATGCAAAAAAATCAGACAGTTTGTCTTTTAAGGGTTTTTAAATGAAGATTGGGGGTATTTTTTCCAGAGCTATTTTATCAAAAAGGAAACTGGCTATCCAACTATAAAAGAACTGCATATGTGTGGTTTTGAAATTGGAAGATTTGCTTGCAAAGTTTTGAGGCCCCGTGATGTGAATTTTTAAAAGCCACATGGATAAATCTCTTGAAATGAATTTACATGTAAAATCTGTTTGCAAACAAAATGCAGCAGCTCTGGCAGGCACATCTGCCTAGAAACCAGTACTCTATTGGCATCCAATTATTGTTGGTATCGTTACTATTAACAACACTAAAAACACCCTGATTTCCAATCTGATTTTGGCATGAACACTCAACATCCTTCTTCAAATAACTTAATTTTCCCTTTAGTTTCTACATGATTTCAAAAGAAAGAGTAAATCCTTTTTCCTGGTAGTGATGTGAATGAATTCCATAGCAACATATTTCCTAGTGAAAGTAAAATGCAAATAATAGATTTCTTATTAGTAAAACTCATTTAATCCTTAGAGGTAAGTAAAGCAGACATATGTTAATTAGATGCTTTTTCCAGTTCAGTTGCAACATAGAAATTGTTTTCTGATTTAATTCATTTTATTATTTTCACTTACACATCTCTGAGAATGCAATGGTGGGGTCTCAAAAATTATTTTCTAATTTAGAGTGATATTTGGAGTAGACTACATACATGGGTGTGATTTAACTGAATTAAATTATGAATTTCTGGCAGTAAGAATAAAAGTAAAGGAATTAAACTTGTGTCCTTGGTCTGTAAGAGCATATACCTCATGTTCTGTTTGTCAAAGTGCCTGTTCTTCGAAAAATTGGGAAGGAGAAAGGAAGCTAAGATTTCTTGAGTATGTCCTACCACGAAGAAATATTCAACACATTTTATCAAATAATGAGGGCTGTGTTGTACTGTTAAGTTTATAATAATTATAAGATAACATATAAGGAGTACAACACAATGTTGAATTAAAATTAAAATGCATTACACGGGTCCCAAAAGGTGATATGTACTCTTAAACAAAGAAATCATTGCACATCACTATTTAACATAAATAAATTTTATTCTCTTTTTATACCCAATAATACAGGTTAAGGATTTTAGCCATTTACTCTAGGGCAATTGGCAAGTCAGTGGCCCTGTTTAAAAGAAGTTACCACCCCTGTCTGACACGGGATCTTATGCAGCAAATATTTTTCTGCTTTTGCTGGACAATTAAAAGACAGACATAATTTAATCTCAAACTAGGGCATATTTTGAGATAACATCTGGTAAAATATTCATTCTTATTCTAGATTCTCATTGCTGTATCCTCATTCTGTTTCTTAACTTCTAAAAAAAATATATTTTTCCTTCTTTCTGAGAATGGCTCATTAGAAAATGGCTCACAGGAGGCACTTTAAGGCTCTCAGCAGATGAGCATGAATATACTAAGCTATCAAGTTGCAGGAGAAAGCTAGCATTGCATCAAGATTATAGTTCTGATCATGTTTATTTTGGATTTTCCTAATAGCCTACGAGGAATTAGTTTGGAAAGGAATCATTCTAGGTCAGTTATAGAAAGATGGCTGCATCTGCGTTTGGCTCTTCCATTCTAGCATTCATTAATATATATTACTGATGCCAATGTGCACCAAGAATCATAACATAAGAATATGAAGATTAAAATGTTGAGGTTCAAATTAAAATAACAAAAATCTTCGCTCAACATTTTACAAATACGTAAGGTTAGATTACTAACATTATACATGACAGAACACTCTCATTAGTAGAAAAAAACCTGTTGGTGAGTTTTCTTTGTCATCATAACTAAATTTTTCTTCCCATTCTTTTGATCTTTATATTTTTCTATCATTCAAAATGACAGTGCTCTCTGAAATTCTTGCTTTGTCA